TTTCTAAATAACCCATATAACAAATTTTAGGTCGATGACTCCCAAGTCAATTGACTTTAGAGCAACAGGTTTTAAACCTTCTTACAAGCTTAATAATCCGAGTCATAAAGGTTACGAAGAGAAATTTTTAAATAAAATATGTTTTTTATATACCTTGATTAGAGCAATCACTCTCATTAAACTCATATCCAAGTAAAACGACCTCTAACTTATGACTTCGCTGAATTTTATCCTATCGACCTTAAACAATCCACACAATATTTTTAGTTTCACACATGAAATCCACAATTATCTCAACACTTCCTACAATAGTGAAATATCCCAAACTATTCTAAATTTGTTCTAAAAATGTAAAATATAGTGCCTTTGGATTTAGCATTTATAGTCCACTATTTCAATTTATCCAATTATGAAACCAACTCATTTTTACACAATGCTTAACATAATTCACGTGCTCAAAATATCAAATTTCATATGAAACGCAAACATCATCCTAAATATGTAACATATTCACCATCCAGAAATCAAGTAACTCACACAAGTACACAAAGAAAATATTTTTCAAAATTTTCAATTTTTTAATAATATCTAAAGCAATAAAACAGACACACGCACCCAAAAAAATGTACAAAAGAAAACTTATGTTTTCCACTCCCAAACTTAAATTAGACATTGTCCTTAATGTTTTAAATTCTAAATCTGCATATAAAGGAATGGGGAAGAAAATGAAGTAAATACTTCCCTGATGTGGCATGAAATCCAATTGCTAGCTTTTTTCTGTTGCTCCCCTTGTCTCATTGGTCAATGTTGGTTTAAGTATTCCGCGACGTCATGTTCTTGCACAATGCGAATATATAAAACATTCAAGATCAAATACCTGAAATAAGTGTTACTTTGCTCAAACATCTAATAAACCAGCTAAATCTCGAGTATCTAACAGGAAACAGGAAATGGACGATGTGCCTAATTAAAACTAATAACTAATCTAAATTATCATATGACTAGAAAGCAAAATAAATAAAAGGGAATAAAGATTTGGTTGCTTCTCAATAAGCGCTTTGTTTAAAATCCTTAACTTGACTTAGTTGTTTCCGTATCATGAAATTCTGAAGCACGCTTTTGCTCAGTTTGCATCTTTTGATTTTTCTCCACTCTTCGTTGCTTATACAAATTTTACACTGACCCTTCAATGTGATATGACTTGTCTATTTTATCCGAATCGAATTCAACTATGTAGACTTCTTCCTCCTCTTCGGGCTTCATTACAAATTCAATGATAAGGCAATCAATAAAGTCAAAAGAATGTGGGTCAATGTCTTCTTCATTTATTGCCTCTTCTTCAATTTGTTCTTCTGTAATTGATGTTTCGTCGTCTTTGTGCTCGCCTTCCATAATTGATATATCCTCAGGTTGAATAGTCAGTTCACAACCTAAATCCAAGGAAATGGAAACTTTATTCTTTCAAACTTTTCTAGTGTATTGTATCCCCACCTTCTAAATTCATCCCAGAATAAGTCATCTCTCACACACAATTTGTTTTCATCCAACTTGACAAGATCAGTGTAGTATTTTACAAATACCTCTTTGTTCAACATGGAAGGACCTTATCACACAAGCGTGTCGGAAGTGATATACTCACCCATACGCATGTAGCCTTCAATAGATGTGTCAATTGCTACTCTTTGACATTTTATATATTATTTAAATCGCAGGAGGTTGAGTAGATAGGATTCAATGCATGTATTCACGCAGTAGCTAGTATAATGCATCCCACAGCAAAATTCACAATAGATATCATCTTCCTCATTATCCATGCCGAGATTATTTATTGCAAATATATTTCTAACATGCCAACGTCAAAATCTTGGATGCACTGTTGAATGGCACTTGAAAGAATACCAAATAAGAGAGATCAATGTAGCTAGCCAATTTCAACAAAAATAAAATAAAATTTGAATCTAATATAAACTACTAAACTAAAATTAAATTCGTTATTTCCCAACAACGACGCCAAAAACTTGTTTAATTGATACCTACGAGATCGTTTACAAGTAATACAAATTAGAGAGATGTGGCCGCATAGGTATAGTTTTTTTTTTCCATCGATAGCCATCAATATTTTTTTTCATTTTTTTTTGAACAACCAATTGAAATGAATTGAAGTACATTGAAAAACTAACTCAAAAGGCTACAATTCTTCCAGAAATATTATTTTTCCAATTCGAACGTTTGCTGTGCAATAAATGGGTCTCAAACTGAGACTGGAAATTCGAAGCATAATTTTTTTCGCCTCAAAGTCGATATTTGATAATACTTTGACTATATTTCATCTATTCGACTTATTTCTTCATCCAATTGACCCTTAACACTCTCGAAACTTCATCATGAGGTTCAGCACAACTTTTAAATATTTGCAATTTAATCCCCCGAACATTGAATTTACTTCAATCTAGCCCTGTCTCCTGTAATTTTATTTATTTATCTTCCAATTGTATCCAATTAAATCCCTGGAATCTTTGATCTTCATTTTGTCACCCGTATCATCTATGAATTGTTTGCAATTTAGTCTTCGACTTTTGGATTTCGCCCTCTTTTCACTATTTTTGTATTCTTTTCTCCAATTTTTCATCAAATATTGAGTTTTACCTACAAAATACAATATAACACAAGTTAGATAGTATTTTATTCAAATAATAGTAAAATATCATCATATAGGACCTCGAATAAATGTAGAAACTAGACTTATCAATAATTATTCTTGTAAATCTTGAACCAAAAAATATGCATTTGATGGTAATCGTTTATTGTTTTCCTTCATATAGGAATTCTTGTGAACATTACAAATATTTAGATTGTTTTATTCGGATTGGTGTAATGTAATTTTATCAATTAAGTCATTAGAGAGTACTGATACATTATTTATGAATTTTTACATACGTTGTAATCCAATAAAATAATTTAATTTGTGATTTTCATTGTGTTATTTTAATTTATAAAACAGTCATTCGTGACTCTTAAGTTTAATACGTTGTATGGTAATGTGACCTACCTCAAATATGTTTTTTAATATTTCATTCTAACTTGTTTGATACGAAAAGTTCACAACTCCTCAAAGGTCGCAATAAAATTTAGTTATGAAAGAGGTTGCAATAGAAGTTTATTACCTTATAAAAGTCACCTATGTATGATACCTTTGTATGTAATATTATTTTATTTGGAGAATGTGTGGTTGAAATGAAGAAAGAGAAAAAAAATGAGAATGAAAATGAAAATGGGTGTCAAACATAGCCAATATATCTATTGTTTTGTTTGTGTAGTTCTTAGTTAGAGCTTATTTCTAGAAGACCTTTTAGAATGTTAAACTCTTACATTAGCAGAAACGATGTCATACTAAATTTTTATCCTGCCACTTTGATTGTTTGAGAATAAAATTGATTTCTCATTCTAAGAACCATTTTTTTCCCATTTCCTGCTCTATTTGAATTATTATTATATGTATTCTTCTTCATTAAGAAAGATCATTCTTCTATGAATAACGTTATGTAGCACCACTGATGTTTTTTTCTATTAACAGGTTTTTTGAAATGCTTAAATTTGTCATCGATGTTGTAAGGGGAGACTTTTTTATGCCTATTCACTACACCAGAAACCACCTATGGCAATGCGTGAAAAACGTTGTCATAGCCTTT